AAACCCAACATTATTCAGACACCAGATATCCTTTTTTATATGTTTACTAGTGTTTGCAGGACACTATAGTTCAGTAATGTAAGTGAGGAGAGAAAAATAAAGTAAACTGTGACATATTATACACAAATATAGAGTAAAATGTATTTTAAAAAATTAGGACTAAGTATTTTTCCTCCACTTTGAGCTGATGATGTTCTGCTGAAGTGTGTTTTCTGTAATTGCTAATGCTCTATTGCTTGGTCACTGGTTGAGCTAAACTGGTATTATCTAATTGTGGACTTAAATTTAACAGATATTCAACATAATTCATGTGTGAGAGTCTAACAGAAGGACGGACAAAACCAGTCAAATACCAGCTGAGTTCTGCTCATATTTTACTACCATTTTATAAAGTATATTTTTTTAAAATGTTTTAAAACATTTTAAAAAAAAATGTGTTAATTTAAAAATATCTTCGAATATTAAAAATATCCAACTTTAAGCGCTCCAGATCGAATCATCCTGATTGTAATTCTCTTTTATAAAGTTCCTAAAACGGCTCTTGGAAGCGCTGTAAATGGATTTCAGATTGAGACGGTGCCTTATTAAAGTTCAGTCCTGCCTCGGGATGCGGGGAGAATGTCACACACATCTTGGAGAGTTTCCACAGCATTCGGTCTGGAATCGACCTACGGCAAATTCTCATTTGGGCAGCGACTGGAGTTTGAATTCGTCAAATCATGACTTGGGCGTTTTGTTCTGTGTGAGACTCGACTCATTAGCATCATTCATATTAATTCTCACGTCTGAAGCGTCTCACCTCATCCCTGGAACACCAGCGCGTCACACACACACACACACACACACATCAGTAATCCTGTCACGGGTCTCTCCTTCCTCCAGGAGCGAGGGTGTGTGCCACTAGCGGAGCCAGACAAGCGTCTCTGGGTGTGCCACATTTATTGTCAGGTTAATGTGCAAACAACCAGCCCAGCGCATCACTAACTTTACAGAATAAACGTGTAAAACTATACTCGGGTTTGCCACATAACCATAACACCAAAGGTCTATATTAAATATAATCAAGGCTCAACATTACGGCTTTTCTTGTGCTTGTCCTTCGAGCAAGTAAATCATCATTCGCTTGTCTAGAAAAAAAAATTTTTTTTTTTTTTGTGTTGTAAATATAATTTATTCTGACACAATATTCTCATCAGTGCTTTTACATATTTAAATCTGCATATTTATGATATTTAAATCTTTATAAAGAGCATTTTTCCCTAATCGTTTTAAATATATTCTTCACCTTTCATTTTAAATTCTTAAATTTGATCAATAAATTCAATTGAAACAATAAGACGCTATGGCTGTTACCAATCGAATTAATTAATTTACACTGAAAAATGACAATGTTAAATAATGTTATGAGATCTTTTTGAATATACAAATGACATATTGGAAAGAATGATAGCCTACTTTTAAACATGAAACTAAACCACCAGTAGGGGGCGAACGTCTCGGTGAGCTAGTTATTGAGTCGTTTATTCAAATGATTCGTTCAAACGGCTGAATCGTTCAGGAATGTGGCAGTTGTTTAAAGGATTAGTTCACTTTTAAAAAAACGTTTGCTGATAATTTACTCACCCCCATGTCATCCAATATATCCATGTCTTTCTTTCTTCAGTCGAAAAGAAATTAAAGTTTTTGATGAAAACATTCCAGCATTTTTCTCCATATAATGCACTTCAGTGGGAACCAAACAGTTCAAGGTCCAAATACCATAGTCAATGTTCAAAATTTTAATGGTGCATGTGCAAAAATGATTTGTTACATGTCATAAAACATGGTATTAACATGGGAAATGTTCAGAAAAACATGGTATTATTATAGGAAATGTTTAAATAGCACCAAGGAACATATTAAAAACATTTGGCATTTCAATGTGCATGTCCAAAAACATGGTATTAACACAGGAAATGTTCATAAAAACATGTCATTAGTGCATTTTCACAAACATTGTAATCCTATGGTGCATTTCCAAAAAATACTTAATATCCGTGAATGTTATCATTGTGTATTATTTGTGCTGGATGTGACTGGATCAGCCATAATGAGAGAGTGTGTGTGTTTGTGTGTGCCTCAGCCACTGGTATATCACACCCTTCCCCTGCATGTAATACTATAAAGCGCACCTATAGCGTCTCTGCTACACCAGCACACCCGTGGGCATCGGACGGTTCCCGTGTGATCGATCGGCTCAATGCCCTTGCTGAACGACTCCCGGCGGACTCGAGGCCATTGGCCGGGTCCACAACCACATGGTGTGTGAAACTGACTTAATGCCCATTAATCTTCATTGTAATCAGTATGGCTTTATGGTGTGCGGGAGAAGTGATGTGGACGTGCGCTCTAATGCACAGAATACAGATTCAGTCTCACGCATTACGAGGCCGTCATGACAGCGGGTCAAGCGTTCGTTTGCTTTACAGATCAGCTCTAGGTTGGAGCCATGAACGTGCTTAGGATGAAAGCTTGCTCTTGACTCGTTTATAGGATCTTCTATCACCAGGTTCGGAATTTGTAATTTAATCCTTACTTTAAATAAAATAAAATAACCTTTAACTGAAATGAGAAATGCATATGTATATATTTCCGAGTTTATCAGAAGCGAAAGTCGTCACAGTTGGGGAAACTTCTATAGCGGCGAATAAGAGACCACAATAAACATGATTTTTTGCTCAAATAGCAAAGTAAAAACTCCACGATAGTGTTTTCACAACTTTCAAGAAGAGTAAAAAATAAAGGGATTGATAACGGGTAAAAATGTAAACTTTAGCGTCAGCCGTTGGATGAACCTCACAACAGAGTTATTGTTAGGGGTTCAAGCTCAAAGTGCTGAAACACTATTGTAATTGTAAGGATTTGTAAAGCTGATCGTGCAGACCAAACCGAAAGTGCTTGAGACTGGAAACCTGGCCAGATGGTAGGCCTCAATTTGGGGAGAACCTATCAGAGTATGACCCCGATTGGCCCATAGGTGGCGCTACAGCAACCAAAAGTACTTAATTGCTCATAACTCCTAGACCATTTGACTTAGAATCAAGTATCAATCTTTGGCTCATGTATATCAAATGTATATCTCCAATTTCGATTTGGGCAGCAAGAATTTTCTGCTATATCCAATTCTGTCTAAAACCTACTTTTGCAAACTAGTCCCTGGTTTTTTACCAGATTGGAACCGAACCATTCTAGGCCAATTCTCTGGACTCGAGTCTAGATAAATAATTATCGAAAAAAAAAATTGAACTTTAGCATTTGGATGTCCATAACAGGGTCTTTTAGAAAAGTGGTGTGACGAAATACACTCAAAAGCCTATCAATCCTAAAGGAAAACTCCAAACTTCACAGAAATTGGTGGGCACATGTGACATAACATAATAATCAAGCATGCAAAATTTGATTGAGATCGGACCATAGATGGCGCTATAACTGATTAAAAGCTTTGAAAACCATATTTCCTATGGTAAATTGTCTATGAGTTACATGTTACTCTTGAAACTTCGTGCTGTGTAGATGTGGTGAACAACTGATTTAGACTGGAACTATAGATATATATCATTTGCGTAATATCCATAATGGATATTTTATGGTTTCAGACCTACATTTCAGTTCGACCTAGACAGCATAGTTGGCATGAAGGCCTTAAATCCTTGAACCCCGGCCCGTTAATTGCCGCTTGCAGCTATATTTTGTATTTATTTTTTGCAATTTGATGCAATGGTAGCAAAGTATAGCCTAGTGTTTTAAATGTATATATAAAACTTTGCAGTATTTACAATATGAATGTGAAAATGGCGTCTCAGCGTCGCTAGGCCTGCGATGATGAGCGGTGCTAATGAGCGAAAGCTCGTTAAACTTGTTCTCCTTTACAGAATAATGCCGTCATTATCCGTAACGCGCTTCAGAATGAGACCAAAAGCCCAATCCGCGTGTCATTTGTTCACAATAGATTTGCCTTGTTCAGCGTTTCCGCCGCCTGGATCCACACACTGACGTGCGTAAGCAGATTAGCGAGTGTGTACCTGTTCAAGGCCTGTAAACACTTCTGATGGCATAAAAGCAGCGGAAAGAAGATTACTTCGCTCGCTGTCACAGCATATGAACGCCTGGCTGTGTTTTTGGATCATTTTCTGGAAGCCATTCGTTCCCTGATGCATTATAAAGGCCTCTGAAGTTTATTTGCATTTGTGATGACGGTAACGTCTGTAGCGTTACTGAAACACTTTATACAGAAACGTTTTAGCATTTATTATGGAGTTGTTTTCATTCAGTTTGTTTTTGATTAGACTTCTGTTCCTTTATTAAGGCTCATCATGCTCAGCTTTCAACTGTGCTTTTAAAATGTTAGCTAAATGTAGTATTCATGAATGTAAATTTAGAGGAAACAAGCCTTTGTTTTGAATTTTAAGATCAGTAATTCAACAATACCTACACGATATTGGGTTTGAACATGTTTCTACGGTGGCCCTGAGTGAACAAACACGTTTCATCACTGTAAAGAAGCTGCTAAAGTCAGCCAATAAAACACTGACAAAATGAGGAACAAGTAACAATAATATTCGCCATAACATGTTCTATTGAATAATTAAGTAAACCTAATTTCTTAATTTATCTTTGTAAAGAATCCTCATTGTTAACTGTCTACTTTCTGCTGTCTAAGACGACAACATCACTTCCTGTCGGCCACCGTAACTTCTGTTGGGTGCAGTTCACAACCTCACCACTAGATGTTCTAAAACTTACACACTGCACCTTTAAGTTTGTCACTGTTTCTCTTTTTTGTTTGTTTGTTTGTTTACTCAATGTACACCCCTGACTGTAGTTGTAATTCTTTAAAATCAATCAATAAAAAACACTTTATCCATAGAATGGCACGTCGAATAAACACGTTTGTTGAAGACCTCGTGACCTGATCACCAGAAGCATCAGACTGACCTGTGTGTGTGTGTGTGTCTCCACAGTCCTCACATGGTGACGGAGTACATGGGCATCAGGAACGAGAGCTTGATGAAGATCGCCGCTGTCGGGACGTGGATGGGGGATTTCGTGACCGCGTGGATGGTGAGACACAGCTTGATGGAGAAAGTTTTGCATTTTGATGAAAGATTTACAAAGCCAGATGTTCAGGGTTACCCAAACTGAGGTTTGTGAGCTTGTGAAAAGCTAATAATTAATTACACTGAGAAAAAAAAAGTCAAACTCAAAAAATAACTTTTTACCTGTTACAATTGTAATTATTTTATTTTAATAATTGTAAATATTTGTGCATTTATATATACATTTGAACGGTGTTAATGAGGAAAACGCCCATTAAAACACACACACACACACACACACACATATATATATATATGACATTACATTTTTTTAATTATGAAAAAGACTACAATTTTATCTACTATATCAGTCAAAAAGTGTGGTATTTTATTTGTTTCCTGCTATAATATAATTATTTAATACATTTATATATAATCTATATATTTATGTAAAACATTTGAAAATTATTTTCAAAATGTAATTATTTACTGGTCATTGGTTTATTTTATCATAATATCCTAATTATAGTTGTGCATTTCAGTGATTTTTACCATGTTTTCTTTATCAAGGTAAACTCGATAAAAATCAAGGTTAATCTATTTTATGAACACAAATTGTGTCTTGTTATTAGTTTAGCTGCATGTCATGTGACCCATTAACCCACATCAGAGAACTGTGAACATACAAATGTTACATTTTTAAAATATTTACTGAAACACCAGGTCAAGGGCCAGCAATAAAGTTCAGAAAACGTTTGCACCAATGACTCGTTCTCATCTAACACCGGTGATGTACATTAAAGTAAAAAGGGTGTATTTTGATTTCATGTTGACTGTAGCAACTTTAAAGCAGCATGAAATAGTTTTATGATAATTATTGACCTTGACGAACCATTACCGCGTCTGACGAGCCACTCAAATGTTTCTGTAATTATTAGTTTTTAATTGACTCTGGTCCCCGAGGGACTGTGACATTAGAGTTCGCCGAAACCAGCAAACTCCTCGTTTAGCCCAGAGACCCTGCGATAGACCACAGAGAGTCCGCTCAGTAACGCCCTCCTCAAATCTGCAACCGCAAACCTGGGAAATTAATAACGCTTGAAAAATAGGACTAAAATGATGTGCACTCATTTATGAAGCCATTAATGTTGCACTGCTTTGTCCCGGTTACACTTTATTTTCAACAGTGACAATTTTACACACAGTATAATACATAGTACATCAACATACACTAACAACTACTTCTTAATCATAGTTAATGTTAATTTCAGTATTTAATAATAAATAATAAATCAAAAGTCGTATCTGTTAATATTATTTAATGGACATGAACTAATATTTTAATGAATCAAATGTAAAAAATAAATGCATCACTGTTAACAAAGAAAAAAGTTGCTGCCGTAATTTTAAGTACAATTAACTGTAATGTTTGAGTCATTTCAACTTAATTGACATTAAAGTGACTTAAAAAAATGAGTTGACTCTTGTATAACCTATTTAATGAGTTAAAGTAATGTAAAATCATATGTTGTCATTGCTAATTGATCATAATGTTTTACAGTGTACCTATTATAAGTGTTACCATTTGTATAAATGTGCATACATGATTCATTTTGATTTTATCATATTTTGAAAATGTTTTTTGTAGTTTTAATATATTTAAATAACTTTCGTTGACTTTAAAAATGTATTGGAAGTATTTGTAATGTCACCGCAAGAGTGACGTTTAAACTGACAGCCGTCACTCAAAATTCAGTCTGTTTGTAAACCATAAGCACTATTATAAATGTTGACAATGGTGGCGATGAAAACTAGTTTTTCCCAAGTTCACTCAAGGACACGGAGGAAACAAACATCTTTCCGACAACATCCGGCATCAGAGAGCTTTACTCAGTGACACGTGAGTGCAGGTGTAGTTCAGATCTGCTGGGGTGTGTGTGTGTGTGTGTTTGTGTCTTTCGGGACATTAGTATTCCTGTGTTCAAACTGCAGTGATGAACAAAAGAGAAGAGAGGAGGAGAGAAAGTGAGGGATGAAACAAAGGAGAGAGAGAGACGAAGGGCGAACGAGCGTCTCAAAGTGCTGAATCGAGACATTACCGACGGCGTATTAATTCAGTCCTTCATCTCGTCACAGGCGGCGGCGCGGCTGAGACGGGATGAAAGATTTACAGATTTATTTCACTTTCTCTTTCCCTCCCCACAGTTTTCAGTCTTTCTTTTCTGAAGAAAAGGATCGTCACCTGACCTTAGACAGGCTCACTGCGCAGTGCGCACACTCAATAGGGCATAACTGTAGTGCACTTGACACTCACAGATGAGGCATAAACCACACAGGTTAGAGGTTTGTATATGGCATAAGGTAAATGTATTATAAGGACCTGCATATGAATATATAAATAAACTATAAAAAATGCTGGGTTGTTTTAACTCAATTTTGGGTCAAATATGGACAAACCCAGCCGTTGGGTTAGATTTTTAAATTGTATTTTAAATCTAACGTTTGGGTTTGTCCATATTTGACCCAAAATTGAGTTAAAACAACCCAGCATTTTTTAGAGTGTTTGTACGGACATACAGTATATTATATGAACACAAACTTTTATGTTAGATGCAATTAATCACGATTGATCGATTTGACTGCATTAATCTAGATAGATACTTTTTTAAAATTATTTATTTTATTATCCCAATTTGGCATAATCAAAACTAATTGTAGTGGTAAACGACTATTGAAATAAAAAAAAAATTGTTTACAAATATTTAATATGCAATTTTGTACAAGTTAATGTAAACTGAAACTAAAACTATAAAAAAAATCCTTACTTAAAATAAAAGTTTCATGCAATGAAATAAAATATTTCCAAAAAAAAATTCTATTCTATTTTTATTTATTTATTTTTTTATTTCAACTAGTTGCCAAGGAAACACTTTTCTTTTTATTCGAGTATACTAAAATAAATATAACCAATTAAAATAACTAAAACTAAAACTGAAATAATTTTTCAGTAACTCTATAGACATATTAAAAGCAAACGAAATTGCATCAAAATTACTAAAGTTAAAATGAAAATGGAAAATATAAAAATAAAAGCTAATTCAAAATTGTAATAAAATGATTATAGTATCGCAATAATACTAAAATAATGATGATTTAATTTAAAATAAGTAATATTTAACTGTAAACAAAAATTAAATGTTTTTACAATAGCATGCATTCTCTAAGAAATTTATTTGCAAATAAATAATATACTAAATAAAGTTAAAACGGATATGCTCCTGAACTTTATTACATGAAGATATTTTGGAAATGGAATAGCTTTTAGTTAGTTAGTTAGTTAGTTAGTTGTTACTGTTTTAGTATAATTTATATACTATTATAGTTTTTTATACTATTATTTTCATATCTTTTGTTTTCACTTTAATTTTAGTTTAAGTTTTGGTAATTTTAGTTGTGTTTTTGTTATTATTATGATTATTATTCCTCAAATATTATTATTTTTATATTTCAGTTAATGTATAGGAAATATATTTCACGTAACACGTTTTGTTTTAAAGTTTTTAGATTTATTTGACGATAATAACAGTCACTGACGCAGTAAATAAGGAGTGTGTGTGTGTTTGTTTGTGTGTTTGTTTGTTTGTTTGTTTGTTTCCCAGGTGACAGACATGATGCTGCAGGACTCTCATTACCCGTGCTGGGGCCGGACCGCGAGGCACTACTGGAGGCAGGGTCACAACCGGATCGTGTTGTTCTGGTGTGTGTTTACACTGCACACCTGGTTAAACTGAACTGAATCTGGTTCAGCTGTCCCACACTCATAAACGCAGGATTTAGACACCGTACAGCTCGAAATTGTACTGAATAATTAATGCTAGACGCACTTTTCTGCTTTTAAAGAATGAATGTAAACATGATTTCTGCTTGTTTTCATAAAGCGAGATGATTTCTGAGGTAATTGACTGCGTGTCACACACACTGTCAGCTGAAGCCGTGTTGAACAGGAGCGTTGCTTTAATGGGCTTCCTGTGAGGTTGTGTGTGTGACGTCCCGAAGGAATGATATTGACAAAATGACTAAATCATGTTTTTATTCATGCTGAAATATGATCGGGTTTATTGTGTGGATAGGGACTCTGCCTCAGTCAATTGTAAGTTAATAATAAAAAACAAAAAAAACATTAGAGACATATAAAGAAGTTAAAAACACGAGGGAACAGTGCAGTCCAGACACACTGAAAAAGATTAATTAGTAATTACATTATTTTTTATGCAGTGCCACTAATTCACATTCATATTATATTAATATCATCTAATAATTTAATACTTAGTTTAATATTAATAAAATATTTAAATTGTCATACAGTTCAATTGAGTGAGTGAGTGAGTGTGAGTGTGTAAATGTGTGTTAATAACAGCACTTTAATCCCTGTTCTCATCATCAGCATGTTTCATTAAAGAGACGCGCGGCAGGAAATCGATCAGCGCCGCGGTGTTCGCCACGGTAACTAGACCCCGAAACACGCTTTGACCCTGAACCCTTAAATGGCTGAACACGCCTGACAGCATGACCTCTGACCTTCACGTCAGCCGATGCATTAAAGGAATATTTCACTCATATATTATATTCTCCTGTTCTTAAAACATTTCTGTCAAAAAATACATTTAAAGATTAAAAATACTTTTTAAAAAAGTTTCTTCAATAGGAGTGTATTTTGTCTTACATTATTAACGTGATAATGATTAATAAAATGTTTAATTATTTGTAATAAAATCTAAATTTAGTGTTTAGTGCCTATTGCAAGTTTTTTAATGATTAATATTTAGTTAATTTAAGATGTGAAAAAAAAACATTATTTAGAATATCATGCAATGGTGAATCATTTACAAGATGTTTAAAACAAAAAACACGTTTATCTGAAGCGTCAGCATCAGTGACATCCAGCTGTGCGTCACGCTCTGTTAGTGTAGTGCACGTCAAGCATTGACCCTAGATCAGTTCTGCTCTTTCACTGGCTGATGAATGTGTTCATCAGTGACATGAAGAACTGATCTGGTGTCTGTATTATTCAGAGGTCCATCAAAAGTGCATTATACCATACATTTCATTCTGGCTCTGCACGTCTCTTATTAATGGACTCTCCGCAGCGTCTCCATCCATCAGTGAAGCGGCAGACTTCATCTCACACACACCGCTCATGACAGACTCTGCTGAGAAACCGTGTGTTTAACTCTGTGCATCCTTTAAAAAAAGTTACACAAAAGTCCAAAGTGGACAAAAACGTCTGCGTCAAAAATCTGTCATTAAAATTGAAGCTTGTGAGAATAGATATAAGTTTATTCGACCCTTGGGAAAAAAAAGTTTTAAAAAGTAAAACCAAAAATATAAATGTAAAAATTATTTTATATAATGTATATTTTATTAAACATGTTGATCTCTAAAAATGCTAAAACATCAAAGCCATAAATCTAAACAAGTCATGTTAAAAATGTGAGGTTGATATTTCATAAAATGAGCTTTTAGTGATTTCACTCTCAAATATTACAAGCGCACACACACACACGTTTATTTATTACACACATCCATACCAACACACCCACACAATGATCGCTGCATAAATTATCCAATTGGATTTATTACGATAAGCAGAAAACAGGAATAACCGTACGTTCACACTGCCGCCGACTTGAGCGTCAAAGAAGCTCTGGCCGCCCTGTCAAGGACGCTTGTCAAAAAGTACGAGGAAGCTTGTTGACGCATTGGAGTGTCACAACATGAAATGTAATAAACAGAAAAAAAAACAAGCAATACATTGAAGAAACCTTTTTTAATGACAGCATTTTTATAACCGTTTTGGTCACATTTGGTCGGGAAAAAATAGTTAGCTATTATTATTATTTGCGGTCAAATCGGTGTCACCATGAGCAAATTAATTGCATTCCCGCTTTAAAACGAGCGTTCGTAAATATTTCAAATAAAAGTTGCGCTCATGCGGTCCCTGTAAGCAAACAACGTCATGTCATAAATTATACGAAACCAGCAGGAATCGCAGCAACGGCGATGAGTAGCTTCTCTTCCATTTTCTCGGAACTAATGTTTTGGTAGGAACGAAAGTTTACATTTTGTATTTCTCCGGAATCAGCCAGCGTGAAGGACGTCTATATTCCGATTGGTTGTTGGCGTTTGCCGCTGCTTGCCGCTGAACCGCGTCACAGCTAATTACCATAAAGTTGAGCTTCTTTCAACTTTCTGTGACGCTCAAAACGCCCAAAACGCTACGCCGAGGAATTTGACGATCCTTGCAGCTGAGAGAAGCCAGCTTCCATTGAAAATGAATGACTTCCGGCTGCTTTGGAAGGCTCAAGTCGGCGGCGGTGTGAACGTACAGTAAAGCGTCTTATTTGCTTTATAGGCCAAACCTGAGACAATGTCTCCATCTGGTAAAAAAAAATAGTCAAAAAACATAAAAATTGGAAGCGCTAAAAAATAGAAACGCTTGCGCCGACTTCAAGCATAACAATTACAAAGGCGGACTCCATCGTGTTTCTGCAAATGTTTCTCCTGGCTTTGCGATGGTCAGAAACACAAAGAACTGGTTCACGCGCAGGACCGGCTCCGACCCGGCTCTTAAAGTCCCCGTGAAATCAAAATTGAACCTATTTACTTTGTTAGCGCATATTACTAGTCTTGTGGTGAACAATTAATCCGTGCAAGTGAATATATATTAAAAAAATGTTTTACCTTAGTAATCTTTAATCAAAATCTGAAAAGTTACTTCCGGTCTGGAACGGTTTCTTTTTCTGATGACGTAGGCTTCACAGTTTGGGTGGGGAAACGTTAGTTTGCTATGAGCGAGAGATGGAGAGGAGGAGCGCTAGAGTAAAACCCTGCCCTCTGTTCAATATCCCGTTTCACTTGGAAATACGTCACAGCACTGGAGAAAAATCGTTTGCAACTTCCGGTTCACGGGGACTTTGAAATGCTTTGGTGGAAAAGGGGTGTGTGAGCTCCGCCTCCTGTGCTTGTGCCTCTGTGAGCTCTGCTGACGCGCTGCTGATGTTCCTCAGGGCGGTTCTGATCTCTCTGACGTCTGTGGTGGTTCTGGTCATCAGTACGGACTGGATCCGCTGGGATAACCTGAACCGGGGGTTCCTGCCCAGTGACGAGGTGTCCCGAGCCTTCCTCGCCTCCTTCATCCTGGTGTTCGACCTCCTCATCGTCATGCAGGTGCAAACACTCTCGTGAGTGAGTGAGTGTGTGAAAGAGTGTGTGTGTGTTGTCACGACCGGCTCAAAGGCAAATGAAATGGAGGACACAGTGATTGGTTTGGAGAAATAAACATTCATTAACATAAATAGATAAATATATAAAGCAAGTAAACATGGTCATCTGTGGTGTCTGTCAGGTGCTGGATTTAAGTGTATTAACCACAAAAACAAAACAAAATACTAAACCAAATAACAAAAGCAAATTGAACCTAAGAACAAACCAGAGCCCAACTTAAAGTAACAGGGAGAAAGAGCTCTCTCAACACTAGACTCGTCACTGTGTGTGTGTGTGTGTGTGTGTGTGTGTGTTTCTGCTCTTGACTGATTCTTGTTAAATGTCCTCTACTTCGCTGCAGGCAGCAAATCACAGTGGAGTGTGTCACTGTCTCATGAATATGATAATATGGGCTCAACAGCTTCTCTTGCTGTTCGTCCTATAATAACCTCACTCACTCACTCTCTCACTCACTCACTTACTCTCGCTCACTCTCACTCGCTCGCTCTCTCACTCACTTGCTCTCTCTCTCACTCACACTGACTCACTCGTTCTCGCTCTCACTCGCTCTCACTCACTCTCACTCACTCTCACTCGCTCGCTCACTCGCTCTCTCTCACTCACTCACTCACTCACTCACTCACTCATTCACTCACTCACTCAATTCAATTCAATTCAATTGAGCTTTATTGGCATGACTGTGTAAAATAGCACAATATTGCCAAAGCAATAGTAATATACAAACATATATGTAGATACATAAAAGTGAAAAAATAAATAAATAAACAACAATAAAAAACCCATTTCCATATTATGCATAAATATATCACAATAAATTAAAAAAAGATATATACAATAAATACAATGACTGACTCTCACTCGCTATCTCTCTTACTCACACTTGCTCACTCACTCGCTCACTCTCACTCGCTATCTCACTCACTCACACTCGCTCACTCAGTCAGTCTCACTCGTTCTCTCTCACTCACACTCACTCTCTCACTCACTCACTCTCACTTGCTCTCTCACTCAATCTCTCACTCATTCACTCACTGACTCACTCACTCTCACTTACTCTCTCACTCTCTCACTCGCTCTCTCACTCACTGACTCTCTCACTCTCACTTACTCACTCGCTCTCTCACTCACTCAGTCTCTCACTCACTCTCTCACTCACTCACTCACTCTCTCACTCTCTCACTCTCACTTACTCTCTCACTCGCTCTCTCACTCACTAACTTGCTCTCTCACTCACTCGCTCTCTCACTCACTCTCTCACTCTCACTCACTCACTCACTCTCTCTCTCACTCACTCACTCACTCATTCTTTCACTCACTCACTCTCACTTGCTCTCTCACACACTCCTCACTCGCATACACTCACCTGTCTCTTTCTCCCTCGCAGTTTCTTGATCTCCATTTACACTCACTGCCTCACTCTCACACACACACACACACACACACTCTCTCAGCATTGAGATGTGTCTCTTTCTCCATCAGTTTCTTCATCTCTTCCATCTGGACACACACACACACACTCAGCGCTGAGATGTGTCTCTTTCTCCCTCAGTTTCTTCATTTCCTCCATCTACACACACGTTTGGATATCTCTCTTCTCCTTTGTCCTTGTTCGGCCGTGTGACGGTTAATCTCCTCGTGACGCGCTGATGTTTTATTCAGTGGCTAATTAACTCAGAGACCGGAGCGGCCGCGAGCCAGTGGGATTTACAAGGTCTTTCATTCGAACCTCTTCCATTGGTTTAATGCCGCGTAATTTAAGGTTCATTTCGTACAACACAGTTATCAGGGCCGCCAATGAGCCGAAGCGCTGAGAGGAACGGTAATTATGAGGCTCCTCGTTAGCCAAGTCGCATAGAATTCAAACACTCGCTTCTGTAAACACGAGGAATAATTGCCAAGAAACAACATTATTCTGCATTTCTTCTGCTAAATTTGGTTTGTTTTTGCGTCTGTCCTGGAGCGGCGAGTCTCAGACGCTCGCTCGTCTACATCATCAGCGTTTGATTGATTCAGCCTGTTCTCAGAGGATCTCGATCTCGAGAGGTTCGGCTGACGCTCGTGACACACTCTCCTGATCGTCCCGAGGAGAACTGTAGAAACCGCGCACTCCAGTTTCATCTCTTATAAATGTCAAACAGAAGCGTACAACAGAGTGAGACCATCAGAACAAACACACATACACTTACTCAGACACATACACACTCATTCAGTTGCTTGCTAGGATGTTATGAGTAGTTGTGAGGTTAAGACCATAGACATATACACTAGACCTCACCTTGGGGTTCTAAGCATGCGTCAAAACCGCCGCCATCTTGGAACAGGGGTCTTGTCATAGGAAGTAGCTAGGTAACGCTGCTATCTCTGCCTTTACTTCAAATTCATTGATGGTGGCGGACTTTTGTGCAGCGTATGATGTTCACGGATGAAATCTGAACTAGGAAGAATGTTTTAAAAAAAAAAAAAAAAAAAAAATTATTTCTGGAATCAATGATAAATACATGTCTGACCGTTGGAACAAACCAAAAAAAACAAGAAAAATCGCATTCATGATGATTTATGGTGATTTTATTTGCGTTAGAGCTGTCTACTACATTGACGCTGATGCATTAAAGTGGAGGGGCTCCCCTGTTTCAAGATGGCGGCTCTATTGACCCATTCGTTCCAATGAACTGCCGTATCCAAGGTGAGGTCTAGTGTATATGTCTATGGGTTAAGACGAGGTGTTCAGGGTTGATGTTTGGCCATGGTTTCCACAGTAATTATAGTTGTGTTTTATGCGTTGCTATGCAGTTGCTATGGTGTTAATTGTTATACCAGTTAAGAATGAACTGTCCACATACGACAGGGTTCTCTCTCCAGGAGATGTGTGTATTCTGCACACACAGTAGTGCTGTGATGATCTGTATGATGTCGTACAGTAACGCCTGAAGCCTATTTGTACTTGAGATCTTGTGTTTCCTGTGTGTGTGTGTGTGTGTGTTGGTCTTCCCCTTCCAGGACTGGGAGTTTCCGCACTTCATGGGCGATCTGGACATGAACCTCCCGGGTCTGTCCACCACCCAGCTGAAGTTCAAACTGCCCGTGTGCAAACGCGTCTTTAAAGAGGAGTATCACATTCACATCACTGGTAAATAGACACACACACACACACACACACACACACACACACACACACACACACACACACACACACACACTTGCTCCTTAACCATTTAACCCATTGGGGTTTTTCGTGTGTCGGTCAAAAATGTATAAAAAGTGTATTGATGTACTATATTTCAGTTTGATAATATTTTTATTTAATATCTAGTATTTTTTAGGGGATTTTATGTTACTAAATTATATTTGCGCTGTATTTATAATCCATTTATTCACTTTTTGAGCATTAAATGTCCAACTTCAACTGTTGTAAATCTGGAATGCTTTAAAACACAGACTGAAGTTTGATCTCTTTTCAAAGACGAAACTTGGCTGATTATTGCTGTAGTGAAAAGTTTTAAAAAGTTTGCGTAAAAACGCAATCGAATTTTAACGTGTATTGTGAAAAATGTACAAAAAATACTATTTAAAATTTGTATATGAAATGTATATTTTCAAAATCACGTTTTACTCTAGAACTGCCAGAAAATGAAAGCCATAAATCTAAACAAGCCGTGCTCCAAATTTGATCTTGATCTCTCAGTAAATGAGCATTCAGTGAGTGTGTGTGTGGCTGCAGTACCGAACGCTTCCACTAGAGGAGACTCTCATTCATTTCCAATGCGCTCCTTATCATTATTAATATTAATCATTATTTTGTGTGCCAAAACCTTTACCAAGTTTCAGACCATTCCAACGAAGAAAAAACACAAACAGTGACGCCGGTGAAGTGCTCATTCGGGACAGGACGGACGGATGAACTCCTCTCCCAAAGGAACGTGCTGTCAGAACATTAGCTCGTTAGATACATCTCTTTATAATTATGTGTTTGAAGGCGACACTCATAAGGCATACTAATTAGTATTTGCTCATCTGTGAGCTTGCGTTTATATAATGGAGTGAGTAGATGTGCCGCCGTGTCGCGAGTCCTGATGGCGTAACGATCGCTCCCTCGAGGCGTCGGGAAACGGCACTCCTGCTCAACCGCTCAGAAACTCTTTAGCCTTATTGTTCTGCGCGGTGATTTAGCATCCGGCTGTGACGACGCCAGCCGCTAGATCCATCAAACACAGTTACTTTACTCTCTCAAGCAGACGTCTGACCAAGCGGCAACCTTATGGTCTCTCTCTCTCTCACACACACACACTCTCTCTCTCTCTCCTTATCACTCTCACACACACTCACTCACTCAAACACTCTCTCTCTCACACACACACTCACTCAATCACTTACACTCTCTCTCTCTCTCTCACAAACACACCCACACACACTCTCTCTTTCTCAAACACACACACTCCCTCAATCACTTACACTCTCTCTCTCTCACAAACACACCCACACACACACTCTCTCTCTCTTTCTCTCACACACTCACTCTCTCACACTCTCTCTCTCTCTCTCTCTCACACACACACTCACTCACTCAAACACTCACTCAATCACTTACACTCTCTCTCTCTCTCACAAACACACCCACACACACTCTCTCTTTCTCAAACACACACACTCCCTCAATCACTTACACTCTCTCTCTCTCACAAACACACCCACACACACACTCTCTCTCTCTTTCTCTCACACACTCACTCTCACACTCTCTCTCTCTCTCTCTCTCTCTCTCTCTCTCTCACACACACATACTCGCATGTTTACAGATTGGTGCAAAAAGTGGTTTTGGTCTATGTAGCTAATTCTGTTCTTCTTGACGACTGTGAGAGGGGTGATTACTCATTCGTTAATTAAGGGCGTGGCCACTTGAGTGACAGGTGGATTGCCGCTGATGTCACTGCTAGCCGTCTGTCTACTGTGTGTTAAGGCCAATTTATACTTCTGCGTCGAGGGTACGCCGTAATGTGCGGCGTTGGCTACGCACGTAGGCGACGCCGTTATGAGCATTTATACTTCTGCGTTCAGGTCTTGGTTGCTCTGCAGTACTGCTCCGAAACGCTAGTTGGCGGCGGAGAGTTTTAATGTTCCACTGTGTTTAGATTCCTCGCGGCTAGGGTACTACAAGCAATAGCGATTGAAAGAGAGTGGATCATGTTGGAGTTGGAGCTTATTGAGGTGGAAAAACAGTTCACTTTAGTGAAATTACTAAAACTGAAAGGCAGAAATGAGAGAAGACGTCGGAGGAGATGGTACGTGTGGAAATCATAGACAGTGGTGGAAATGCGTGAGAAGGTACGTGCGGAAATGCGTAGGAGGAAATGCGATGCTACCAAGCCGACCGATCTTGCGGTCCGCGTCGTCGCGACGTGTAGTTACATTTTTGAGGAGGTGCGCGTCAGGCGACGGCGAAGGGTACGCGCAATGGGACGCGTCTGTGCGTATGCTACGCCGTACCTACTGCGCGCACCCTACGCAGAAGTATAAATTGGCCTTTAGCGTCACGTTACCTCAGCTAATCTGCCTCGTTTATCCGGCCGGGAGTGACGCGGCCAAGACGGTGACGGTTGCTCCGCCCACTTTGCGTGACGTCACGAACACTGCGACCGTAGTCTTTTACAGTCTGTGCGTCTGACTCACTAATACACTGGGATGAATTCCCAACACGCTCATGTTGCCTTTTCTCTCTTTTCTAATCCCAGGTAAATGGTTTAATTACGGAATCATCTTCCTGGTCCTCATTCTGGACCTCAACATGTGGAAGAACCAGATCTTCTATAAACCCTATGAATACGGTCAATACGTGGGTCCAGGAGAGAAGATCTACACCGTGGAGGATCCGGAGACGCTGTCAGACTTCAACCGGAGCACGCTAACCTGGGAATGGCGGTCCACTAACATAGACCCGCGCACCAACCGCACGTACATCCAGACGGACATGTTCCTGCACAGCCGCTACGTGGGGTCCAGTCTGGACGTGAAATGCCTGGCGTTTATCCCGAGTCTGGCGGCTTTCGTGCTCTGTGGGTTCTTCATCTGGCTGTTCGGCCGGTTCCAAGGTGGCGAGGTTTTCCCGGAGAACCCGGACAAGAGCTACGAGCGCATCAAGCGCTCCGATCTGGGAGTCACGCCGGAGGAAGTCGAGGCGTTTAAGAGGAGCGGGACGCCCATGTTGCTCTTGGTGGACACTCATCATTTCGGGTCTTCGGACAACTCCATGTCACCGTGCTCGAGCGAGACCCAGGAGACGCAACCCAGTGTAGCCCACGAGGACCCCGGTGATGTCAAAAAACTGACCCCGTGACCTCAGCCAAAGGTCAGATCCACTCTAGGAATATTTGATGTTGTTTGGTGTCGGGTTTGTCCAACAAACTTCCAAAGTATGTTGCTGATTGGTAAGGGCTGCACCCTAATAGCCGTACGCTAGTCGACGAGAAGAGGCTTAGACAACGATGTGTGAAGTTTTTCCTTTGAGTTTTCCGACACCATCGTCAAAACGATCCCTATTCACACGGATACGGGAAAACGACTAAAAGCGCTGTGTTCTGCTGCCAGGCCACTAGATGGCGATAACACTATAGACTGAACAGGTTATACCCATGAGCATGACGTCATCGGTTTCAGAGATCCTCGTTTTCTGTTGTTTTCAGTCCCCCAAAACTGTTGTCGTGTAAGCGAACGGCCAAAACGCTAAGTTTTACGTTTTTAGTTGAAATGGCGTCGTTTAAACAGCCCATAAGTCTACCAATATTTTATTAGACAGGGGAAAAAAACAAATGTGGGATAGATCATTAATGGCGGGTCCTTGTGGAAAATAAATGAAATTAAGTGAGGCCGGAAATCGAAACGTTCTCATATCATCCGTCGACACGATTCTGGACAAATTGTGCATTACGTGTTTTTCTTTTTCTTTCAAAGATTCTTCCACGATTCTGAGCTAATTAGAGAAAGCTAATATGTAATTTAATAATATGTAATTTTCTGCAGTCTATTTAAAAAAAATTCAATTTTGGGGGGGAATGAATGATTCAATAAAAAAAAATTTTTTTAAGTCACATGTCGCCACCTACTGGTGTAACGATGTTATTGACACAATCGCCAAATTACTTTCCATAGCTCTATTTTGATCACTCCCTTAGAGTTTATAATCCGAACTTCAAACTTTTATTCCAGTACTTCTGTGATCATCTGAATATTTCTTACATTTCTGTGTGAATGAGTCTAGATAGATATCAGATTTGAATTTTCCAGTGGGATTCAGACACTAGCGAATCGTCTTTTATGAATGAAATTGTGTGGGTTTTTGAATCCAGCTCACAATTTTTTTTTATGATTAATCGTGCAGCTCTAAAAACGGAACCAATTCAAATCAAAATCAAAAACTCTTTGCTTATGTAATCCATATGAAAGGTGCATTTCTCTCTATATATATTGCGTAGATGGCGAGTCAACATCGTCAACTTCAACTGACTCAGAAAACACTGTTTTATTTATAATTGAAATTGCTAATTTACGGCATTCATAATCATTACGGTGTTTTGCGTCAAGCTTTATGTGCTCTTGAGCGTGGAATATGCTATTTATTATGCCTATATATTTATATATATATTAGGCTCATTATGGTTCAGTACTCTCCTCAGTATATATTTAAGTATATTACTAGATTAGTCGACCGATGGCTTAAACGCACGACTTCTAGTCGACTATGAAAGGGGGCAGCTCGACTGATGGGCTACGATTCTACGATTTCTATTTTTTTTTATCAATATTTTCAGCGATGTTGCACATGGCACCAACTTTTTGAACTCAAACTTTGAAGCGTCCCTCGAAGACGTTGATCTATGGTGCTGGATGTTTGTTTTTTGTACGTGTTTTTATGTGATTCGCCTGTGCCTACATGGATAACATGCTGTCCTCACAGTGAACGCATGGCATGATGGTCATGAAAACACTCTAACTGAACACCTACAGCTGTGCCTTCATGAACAAACCTGCGCGTGGGATGTTGCTTCATGTCTAATCGTTATCTGTATATCAGTTATTTAAACACCAAACTGCTGTGCCACCAAATATATCTTCACATGCATGTGTTGGAAAATCTGATTCTGCCAAAGTAATGCCATCTCAAAAACCGATTGCTTTGTATTTTATACTTGTGTTGTTTTGAAACCATGTTCGTCCGTGTGTTTTTTTTTCTTCTTGTCTTAAAATGTTTGGATGGTAAATATCCACATCAAACCCTGTTATCAATAAAGACCTTCTTTTGACACGCGGGTACCATGTTATTTCACAGGTTGCATGTTATCGGTGGAAACGGTTCTTCTCTTATCAAGACGCTTCATAAGTGGCGCCTGCTGGCGGTCCACTGTGACCTTGTTGCTAAGCAACCGCCGAGGGTCGGCCTGCATCCGGTGCCGATCCGGTTCTGCAGAAAGTGGCAATCAAACCCGTTCATAGGAACATTGGGTAAACAGCCATTAGGCACCATTACGGGTCAAAACACAAGGGTTATGAAAGGATTTTTTCACTACAGGTGATTTATTAAAGCTTTCAGAATCTGCATGCAGCTCCATATGTGGCCACTCTCAAGTTTCTTTAAAACATTTCACTTAAAAAAACAGATCTGATTATTTCTTTATTTTTGTCCAATGCCTTTTTAAAGTGATTGTTCTCAATCTTTTCTTTACAATAGTTGTGAACCTGAAATGTCTTGCTGCGTTTTCCGGCTTTCAATCTCCACACAGCACAATTCTAATCTCCAGTTTCGGGATTTCGGACCTCGCTAGACTTTTGTTGCTGTTGTGGATGACAAAGCCTCAGTGTGACGCCATCCTTGACTGTAAGTACGACCCTAATTTTCAATATTTGTGATTATGGAGAGAAATGAACTATTGATTTATTTGCAGTGCACAGACAGACGTGCAATACTGTATTATGGAAAATGAACCCCTGATAACCTGAAGCTGAATAGTGCAAGTAATGTGTTTCTCATGAAGAAATGCCAAATAATAAGGCATTTGTGGCAAAAGTTAATGTGTGTTTACTGACAATGTAATCAAAATCATTTTGCACTAATGGAGCAAATGAAGATTAATTTTTATTAAACCTCATTTACATGCACAGTAAAATTCTTATTAATATTGGATTAAGCGTAAACATGTTTTTTCACAATGTATTTTTATACACCAAAATGATACAAATAAATACAAATTCTGCTCACAATGTTCCAAATCTGGTTTAAAAATAACACGGTTGCCAAGTCTGCGTTTTTCCTGCGAAATTGGGATAGTTTGACACAGGCCGTGCATAAATGCGTGACTGAAATACTTGTATTGAAATATTTTATGATGAAACTAAGCTATACGTTCAGTTTTGTGATCACTACAATATATTAGTGGTGTAACGATACTCTGATCTCACGGTACGATATCTGCAGACATATGATAAAAGATTACCAAAAAATGCACTGTTGGTTAAAATGCTAATTTTGTTGTTTTATTGTGCGTGTAAATGAATAGTCTTGGACTATAGAGACACCAGAATAACAATATTCATGATTCTGAAGCTGAAAACTGAATTATTATAGATGAATATGCTTGATCTCTGTCACTGACTAGATATATTAAATAATGTTGGACAGCTTTACTGGTAACATCAGACATTTGGCATTATCAGGACACACATATTCATTATTATACTTTATCTTGAACTTTATATATAGTTTAATGTAGAACTGACACTAAAACTCTGAAAACGTGCACATAGTCACTATCCACAATATATATTAGGGCTGTCAAACGATTAATCGCATCCAAAATGAAAGTTTGTGTTTACATAATATATGTGGGTGCACTGTGTATAATTATTTTGTATATATATATATATATATATGTATATATAAATGCACACACATACATGTATATTTAAGAAAAAAAATATTTATATATAAAATATTTATATTTGTATATAATATAAATTATATATAAATCTTTATACAGTATATACATGAAAATATTTCTTAAATATATACAAGCATGTGTGTGTATTTATATATATATGCAAAATAATTATACACAGTGCACCCACATATATTATGTAAACACAAACTTTTATTTTGGATGCGATTAATCGTTTGACAGCCCTAATATATATTGTTGCATTTTTGTATTGCGATATATTTTGACACGATATACATTGTTACACCTCTACAATATCGTGTTGTTGTTGTTTATTTTTTTATAACTAAAAAATGTATATGTTATGTATGGGAATGGCATATTTTGAGTTTTTGATATTTGGGATATTGGCTATTTTTGATTTTCCATTTTTGACATGGCATTGGTAAACAACATGAAGATGAGTAAATATTTCTTTTCCAGAGCATGCATGAGCATTTTGTTTTTAATCCAGAATATAGATGTTCATCGCAAACATGGCTAGTGTGGATATCGCTTGAAATTGAGATGTATATTCTGTGGTAAATGTAGTTCTTCTCCGAGAGCCAGGCGTCGACTTCATCTACACCGTGAACTTGAGATCTGGCAGAAACCCTTCATCTCTTATTGAGTCGTGTTTCCAGCAGATCGCCTGTCACGTTAGGCCTCACGAGATCACAGGTCGGAAAATTCAGACTCCTGACGTGTGCTGACAGAAGAACCAGATGTCCATCACCATGAGGCGCGCCATTATAAATGGGAATTTTATCGCTAGACATGCGACAGGAGCGACATGGCAAATCCCCGTACGAAGCCAGTCAAAGTTTTTTCCACAGAAAACCCAGGAGCCTTAATTTCCCAGTCTCCTTCCGTTCGATTGGCTTTTCCAGAGAGAGAGAAAATGTCCATTTTTATCAAGCGTGCTGCAGGGAAAGTCAGGAGAGTATCACACCGTCCTTGAGAAGCGCGTTAATGAGCGGCTACGCGTCTAAAACCCGTTAACGCTCCAGCAGCGATTTCCCAAACTTGCGGAGAGAAATAAATAAATAAATAAAAGTAGTACGATGTGCTGCTGCAGACTGAAGATAACTTCAGCACGGACTTCGGGAGCTGATAAGAAGTCACACACTTAAGTTACTGTTTATTACGAGGAAAAACTGAAGAACGTTTCTAGATTGAGGAAACCATCATCCTCGATCGGTCGGTTGCATTAGACCAAGGCCCGGTTTCACACAGCTATTTTAGAGCGATCTTTAGTGTTAACAAGTCTAAAATTTGCTCATAGACTAGTCTAATGCAAGTTGGACTGTTTCACAAAAATAAAGCCTGACTTTAAGGGATCGTTCACCCAAAAATGAAAATTCTTTCATCATTTACTCACCCTGAAGTTGTTCCAAACCTCTATGTGTTTATTTGTTCTGCTGTACACAAAGGAAGATATTTGGAAGAACGTTTTAATCAAACAGATCTCAATCCGCATTGCCTAAACAGGTTTTTTTTTTGTGCCATGTAATATAGGAACTTCGACTCGCTAAAGCATGTACTTGCTAAAAATGTTGTTTACATACAAGAAGTTGAATGTCTGACTGCATGTGTCATTCTGTATTTTTTCAGGAAATTGAGGAAATTGAATGGGGGCGGGGTTTAGTGCTGTCACTCAAATGACGAGCCAATGGGATTCCTCTGAAGTGCTAAAACACTCCTGACATCATCACTGCAGGGGCATTATTAGCTAGCAGGAACAGTAATATCAGCTCCCCGCAGGTCGTAGCATCTGTCGCCATGGGTTTTTCTCTCTGATAAAAATTAGTCATTTAGGAGCCAGCTGGAATCAGGCCGGTGCATGCTGGGATTCCTCAGTCCCGATGCTGGCCGAGCGCCACGTCCAGAGAGAAGCCCGCTGGGCACATATGGCCCCTGTGCCAGACCTGTCCCGAACACTGGAGGCGACCCGACACTGGTTCTGGGGCCCGTCGCTGATACCGGAGAGGTTATAGTCATATCAGAGCGATTCACGACGACTTTAGTTGGACACAGACCCCAAATATGAAATTTATACCCCAAATTTATACAGTGAAAAAGTAATATGTGTCAAATAGTATTTAGAAAATATTTCATTTCTATTAAGTTTGGTGTCTCCATATAAAATCCCCTTTGACTTTCATTACATGGGAAAGAACATGTACATAATAGTGTCAAAGCGTTTGTCAATGAAATGAATTTACTGTAATTTAACTTGATAATGTTTTTATCTAATATTTTATATACTAAATTGTATTTATGCTGTATTTATAATCTATTTATTACCTTTTTGAACATAGACCTGAAAATGTCATTTCCAACTCTTTAACGCTTTAACGCACAAGCATTAAAGGGATAGTTCACCCAAAAATGAAAATTCTGTCAGTATTTACTCACCCTCATGTTGTTCAACCCCCGTAAGACCTTCGATCAGAACATGAATTAAGATATTTTTGATGAAATCTGAGAGCTGGATCACTCCTGCATACTAGTCCATAGGCTTCTTGAGGGATTGAAACTTGCCGGCCTTGAAAAGTTATTAAAGACATCGTTAAAATACTCCAAGTGACTTCAGTGGCTCACTTTTTGTGCGCAAAAAAAAAAATAACGACTTTATTTTGACTATTCACGTCCGTCTCTCTCTCTGCCTCGAGTCAGGTTACTAGTTTAACAGCGTATGATCTGTTGTTGTACGTCACACACATGGCACACATGACCAGCGTCGGCCAATAGTGAGCCTACGTGTGACGTTTAACTGACTAGAGGCCCAAAGAGAAGGAAATTAATAGTTGAAATAAAGTCGTTATTTTTGTTTTGTTTTTTGCGCACAAAAAGTGTTCTCGTCGCTTGATAAAGTTAAGATTGAGCCACTGAAGTCACTTGTGCTATTTTAACGATGTCTTTAATAACTTTTCGAGGCCGGCAAGTTTCAATCCCTCAAGAAGCCTATGGACTAGTATGGAGGAGTGATCCAGCTCTCAGATTTCATCAAAAATATCTTCATTTGTGTTCCAAAGATGAATGAATGTCTTGCGTACTTGTGCTATCTGCCGGCAGTGTTTCCCCGAACCCGGAGCGCGTAATCCACAGAAACGGTCCTATCAGCAGATCTGACCCGAAAGGCAAACATTGTGGTCGAGAAATTCGAGTTTTTCCAGAGAAACAAGCAGTGCGTGAATGTAATCCACCGTGGAAAACAGCAACGTGATTGATTGTTGTTTTGTGGAAGAATTGAATTGCATGTCACACGGCTGAAGCTCCACGCGCAAATCTGTTCTCCTCGTGCAGTAAAACTGAATTAGTGGACTTGT